TGAGTTATACCGGTAATCAAAACATTCCTACTTAATTTATTTTGATACAGAAATGAGTAGACATCACATTCACCGGCTTTTATAGAAACCGAGCAGAGGCCCAAAAAAATATGGAGAAACACGTTGAGAGAAAACATTCCTTGGTAGCGTCATTATACATTTTCAGTTCTATGACTTTCCAAAGCTCTATAGCCCTACTTGATTCACTGGAAATTCATTCTGTGTTTAATTGTGAATAGTTTATAAATTTTTAAAATTTCTCACTACTAGTCATTTGCATACCGGTATTCTGGGCTGGCAGGCGATCTAGTTGCAAGATAATTTTTGTTTATTTATTTATCCATGTATCTTTGATCTTTTGTGAACAAAATCTGCACAATACGTAATTTATTATCTTAAAGGGTGGTGGTCGTTGCATGGCATGTTTTTAAATTAAGTATAAACAAACAATTTATTTTTAGACATATTGTATATGTCACTGTGGGTCCCATATCAAACACGCTGCATCATGACCATCGCCCTTTAATTTATTGTGTCATAAAATCAATTATAACCCCGACCTGAGCCTTTAACACTGTAGCTGGTAGTTCAACAAAAATAAAACCCTTCTTGTAATCAGAATCAGAACAGTAGTACAGCAAAATCACATACCTCAACCTACGCTGAGTCGGTTTGAATCCACACACACCAGACATGTGTGCCGGAATCCTGGCACTTCCAAGAATATCAGTTCCAAATCCTAATGGAGTCCCATTCATCTTAACTAAGGCTGCTTCCCCACCGGATGAGCCACCAGGAACTTTATCTGGATTAACTGGATTTACTGTCTCTCCATATATTGGATTACTACAAACAAAACTGGGGAAGAAAATGATTAATTTTTTTTTAAGTTTCAGTACAAATAAAATAATTCTGATTTTTAAACTGAAATAAAGTGAGTGAGTAATTGAAAAAAAAAACGACACAGACCTACGGTAATTTTTTATCAATGGTTGTGCATAACATGGAATTATATGAAGTATGAAGGTTCACTATAGAATGATCACTAGCATTACGTAACATATTTGAATGGGCTAAGGGGTATGGTATTTCAGTATAATATAATGCTAGGGAGTCCCCCACAGTATGTCACAATATTGAATAAGCTAGGGATTGTTGTTAAATCATTCTGAAAGTTGATGCTAGGGAGTAACGGTATGCGACATGACCCAATATTTAATATAAATAAGGATTATACTAATTCAGTGTATAGTGAACGATGATGCCAGGAAGTCTACTACATGATGCTATATTCAGTGGGCTAGGGAGTTTGCATGGTTACCTAAGTAACAGCTGAGGAACATTGGTTCTAACAAATGGTACAGCACCTTGCTGTTTCAAAGCTTGAACCAGTGCGCTGTCATTATTCGCCGGTTTACCAATGTTTTTACTCAACCCTAGGGTAGAGGTGTAGCCCTGTAAAAAAAATAAAAGATTCTATAATTCAAAATTTCATAAAAGACAAATCAGAGTTGGAGAAATCAATTGATCAAAATCTTTTTTATAAGGGTTTGATTTTTATAATAAAAACATTGTAAAAAGTGGCAAAATATTGCCATTTAGTTACAATGCATTTACCTTTATATTTATATTTTCTTTGATACTGACAGGTATTCCATAAAGCAGACCTCTTCTCTCTTCATCCTTCTCCAGTTGTTTTGCCCACTCCTACAATACACATATACAGTGTCACTAGATTGGGGTGGGCCCAGTATTGTTTATCAGGATTATGAGATTATACTGAAAATAGAACTGATAAATATATCATATATTTTATACAGGCTATTCACTTGTTTGTAGAGGTGACCATTGACATACTATATATTATAGCTGTGCTAACACAGCCACTAGTATCAACCAGCCCCAAGTGACATCAGGTGATAATGTATTTATCACATGACCAACTCCAATGGTTAATAGAAATCATGAAGGATGAAACTACTCTTACGCATCATATGCTAATTCATGCTAATTAGGCATGATATCTAAGCATGACGATGAATGCACATTTGCAGACACAACTGCTGATGGTTTCCAAAGTCAGCAGAAATATTACCTGTTCTAGTGATATTTTTTCAAAATAAACTTTTTGTTATTGTGCATGCGGGTAATATGAGTATGCACAAAGACAGTAGTGATGTATCCACAATAATAAATGTATTATTATGGATTCTAATAAATGGTTTTCATTGTGTGAATGTTTGCATTCAGTGACGGAATTCTAGCATTTCTGCATTCGATAAAAAGAAATGCAAGTGTTCGAATATGATGTAAATGTGACGCACATTTTCCAAACAAACACTTTCGAACATGTTTGTATGGCGCTTTATAGACAGAGGAATTCTTTTGTTTTTTATGTCAGTTGTATAATAATATCAGGTTATTACGAGGGTACCTCAAAGTATGCATGAAAACAGTACAGTGAAAGTATCGACTGACACGCAGCGGAAGTCGATGCGACGACATACTGTCTGAATGCATACTTTGAGGTATCCTTGTAATATCCTTATTATTATACATCTTTTCCTTCCAAGGATACATCATGGGAATGCCAAAATCCAAAAAGTTTAGAACAGAATCAGCGAACTTCTTTGTGTGGAGTCCGGTCAAACCTTAGTGGCAGCCATGTTTGTTTTTATTATTAGAGGACGCTTAGGCGCGTAATCATTCCATATTTGGAATTCGCATTTCCTAATATGGTAGGATGAAAATACCCGGCAAGACACCACAAAATTACGGCACGCTGTAACTTATGGCGTTACTGTGACAAATGTATAATAATAGTTGTTATCCAGTCTGAAATTCTCATATGCAGCACAATTTGTTTTTCTCTTTGTACTTTTCGAGCACACACAGACTGACGACATTTTGTGTGAATACCCCTCAGTTTAGTGTGAAATATCCGTTACCATAGTCACTACAGTAACTGTGAATGATAAGTACCGTGGAGATGTGATAACAAAATAACATCACATACCTCTGCTTCATTCACTGGTTCTATTACACAGTTGACTTGACTTGTGCAATCCATAGCCTGAATTAGAGAAAAAAAGCAATTTCTGCTATCAGCACATTCATTGCATATTACCTGCTACATTAAAACTGTCAGCATTTTCCTCCAAGAAGGAAACTGTATGATAAGAACAAAACAGATCAAAAAGTATTATTTTTAAGGTAGCAGCAGGGGGAATACTGGTTAAAATTGATCTATCATTCAGACATTCTCTAAAACTCACTAAGCATGCTACTATCACAACCTATCTATTCAAATAATGAGCTCCTGATTCAAAAGGGTTGCAACAAATAAATAAAAAACAACCTATACAGCATATGCACAAAGGTATTCAAAGGAGTTTTTCTGGAAAAAAATGAGCAAGAGGGAGCACACACAGGCGAGGGAGCCTGCAAACGCCACATCAGAAGGTTTCTGCGTCGTTTTAATGGTGTATCATCGCCATTGAAATATTTTTTGAGTAATTTTAGCGTATTTGGTGTCCAGACACATTGTCAGCTGGCGTTGCTGGGAAGTTTTCACAGAAAGAAAAATATATTTGAGAAAGATTTCATGTTGTACAGCAGCACGGAAGTACGCAGCTCAAAAAAAATATATTTATGACTTTTATGAAAGTTTAATTGGCAATTCGGTAAGAGGGCGCC